TCTACTGACTCAAATACTAATCTCCATGAACACCCTCACAGACACACCCAGAAATAATATTTTACCAACTACGTGAGCCTACCTGAGGCAAGTCAAGTTGACACCTAAAATTAACATCACACAGCCCATCATTTCCTTTCCTGAGGAACATGGCTGGACCAGATGCAGGGCCCAGGCTCCATCTGGATCACGGTTTGACCAAGGTCCTGAGCTCTGGCATGTTGCAGCCCAGAGAGGGATCAGAGGCACAGGGCTGAGTCTCAGGGCCCGTCTGAAGAGTTGGGCTCAGTGTGGCAAGCAGCATCCTTGTGTGCAACCAGGGCACTGTCCCCTCAAGAGTCCTCCAGGCCCATCCCTGTCCCCCATGGCAGTGCCAGACCCTTTGGTCCTTCTCCTTTATGACGATTACAGAAGCTCCCCTCAGACTTGCCCAGAGAAGCGGGACCTGTCTTTGGCTTGATTTGCTTAAGAAACAATGTGTGGTTAATGCTGGAACGTGAAATAGTCAGGCCTTGCAATCCTCTTGGCCGGTAGCAAGTTGTCTGTGACGCTAAATTCAGAAACAAGATAGCACCACCTCTGACCTTGAACGAATTTAGTGTGACTCCCATTTTCCTTCTTTCAGTGTGAGCTAATCCTACCAGTATTTTAAGGACCTTCTCAAGTGCAGGCAGATCCCTGCTTCAATGCAGGTTCCCCTCCACAAAGCCCAGGTGTAAGAGGAAGTGGTCATGAAGTTAGACCAAGCATCACCTACAATCCTTGAGACCCTGGGGCAGGTTTTGGGAGCCCAGCACCCAGAAGCACAAAAGGACACAGTATTTACTGCTCGTGAAGGGGTCCACTGCCATCTCCATGCTGCAAAGGATGCCACCAGCTTCATAGTGTCAGTCATCAGGCCAGAGCACAGTGTCCAGGAAATGAGTGGCAGAGCAGGGAAGCAGAAACTTCACGATGCATCTGACTCACAATTGTCTGACACTGAGAGGCAGCAACCGTGGAGTCACGTCTGCTGGGGAGAAGAATTTTAATCATTCACATGTGCACTCAGCTGCCAGCCATGCAAATGCTCCTAGTATACCGGGGCCTTTCAGCTCCCTTCCCATCCCCTGCAATGGCCCTGAGAAGAAGGCCGGACAGGACAGTCGCCATTACTGCATCAGACCATGATTTGTTTCAGCAAGAGTATGGGAAAAAAAAAAAAAAAAAGGAAATATCTTGCTGGTTTTAATAATGTTGCAAAGAATGCGTGACTATGGGAAGTTCTTTGTGGATTTGAAATTTGGGGTTCTGAATATTTGGGTACAGGCCTTGCCAACCCACAATGCCCTTTGGGCAATTCTCAGTGACTGTAGGCTTGAGTGAAGCCAGGGTGAAGATAGATGGAGTGTTGGGGCTGGGGGACCTCCCAGAGAGGGGCCAGGACCCATGCTGTCATGGCCCCCTTGGCAGAGTCCTGCAGAGGCCAGGATGACTGGTTGAATGAAGGCTGTACAGAGGATAACAAAGGCTGCTGTTCTGATCTGACCATGCTGGATGAGAGCCTGGAAGAGCAGGAGGCAGATATTCTTCCCTGCAGCCCACAGCCACAGCCATGCCTTTCACATCAGCCTGTCCTATCTCCTGAGATTGGGGCTACAGCAAGAGGTATAGGACAGTGGGAAACTTGATCACCAGAGACGTTCTATCAAACCCCAAGAATCTATGACATTCCAATTGGAGAGTGTTGTTAAAATCTCTGAACTCAGCCCCTGGGACTCGGTTGTGGCCTCGTGGAGACCCTGAGACTATGCACTGCTACCATGACCTGCTGTGTTCACTGCCCATTTCCTGCACTGGAACGCTGACGCTGGCTTCATTTCTCTTCTCTTGTTTGATCTAAAATCTAGTCCTTATGCACAAGACCCCTAACAAGAGCTCCACTCCTTTTCATGGAAACCTGCCCCTCAGTTTTAGTTACTAGTCTGTGGACCACTTATCCATTCATCCATACCATGCTGACACGGTTTCTCAAAGACCTGGTGTGAACAGCTGTCCGCTGCCTGAAGGATTTTTAAGGGCCACCCTGCAGAACAACTCCAAGATATTCTAGTATCTTCAAGATGACTGCCTCTCTTCTCACTATAGAATGGTCACGGGAGAAAGTGTAGTTCATAACTCTGGGTATGCATTGCCTCAGGGATTCCGGCCAGTGTAGGAAGACAGAGCAAGCACGTCACCATCACCTCCTCCTCTGCTCATGGGAGACATTGATAACTGATCCCAGAGCTCTGTCTGACATCACCGTTAGATCAGAGCTAACATTCAAGGTGAAGCCTTTTTGGTACCTTGACTTTGCCCAACCCAGAGTGGTATGTTTTCAATGAAACTGAGAGATAATTCACAATCAGGGATGACAAGGCTTTTGTAGGGCTCACAGCAATACCTGGGAGAGACAGAGTACCCAGCACAAGGAGATGGCTCTGTGGCTCCTGGGGCTTGTAGCTCACTTGGGTTTGAAACAGGCTCCGCACTCTGTGCACACCTGTCTACCCCAGGGGCAGAGCAGCCACCAGTCATCAGGCAGGCACCCTAACTCTTAGTCCCTAACTCAGGTCCCTAGAGTGATCTGTATGACCAATGAGGGTCCCAGGAGGAGGGTCCCACAGGGAACACCACTGGCTCTGTAGGGTCAGTGTTTCAATGAAACAAAGACTGTAGCTGTAACATTCTGGTGGCAAAACACCAGCCTTCCTGCCTCCCCCAGGCATTCCCCTTCACAGATCCATTGGCAGCTTCCAGCACAGGGATTCCCAATGCCATTTGAGCTTTGCCCCTTCCATGGGCCTGGGCAGAAAACATGTTTGCTACCCAGGAACTTTGTTGCAATGGCAGCAGGCAATGATATGATTATCGGTTTTCTCTTGACTCTGCCCAGTCCCTAAAGAAATGGACAAGGTGCCATGCAGAGCCACAAGGAACCCCTCTGCTGATGAGTCCCAACGTTCATGGCACACACTGTAATGAAGCTGTCGCTGGCAGTGACATGACATTTCATCCTCCAGGATAGAAGGGAGCAACCTGCAGAGACAGAAACCCACTGTGGCCACCGCGTTTTCTTATAACATTTCTACCCATGGGCCTGATATGTGAGGAGCTGCTGCCTGTTTCTTATGTGAGGGGTGGGGTGGGGGTCCCTGAGCCCTGGTGCTCTATCTAGACCAACGTGTCCACAGGGAACTTTCTGGAAGGACTGCCCCTCTATGGTACAATTATTGGTAGATTTTTATCACTAGAACCCATGAGAGAAATAATAAGGAAATTGCCATGCAAATACATATATGGAAAATAAACTTTTAGGCAAAAATATATATTCTTCAAAATGAAAAATGATACGAAACTGTTATAGAAATTAATTATGCAATCAAGTCAAAGAAACTCAGTCTAACAAAAGGGCCTCTCATGCCTGCCTCTTCAACTCCACTAATCTGGAAGAGAGAGGCTTGATGAAAAAATAGGAAACCCTTGTGAACGGTAAGGTTGTGATATAGAGTGAGTTGCAAGTTGAGATCCTCATATTTCTTTTCCTGTTGGATACTTTGGTAGGGGGGTTCAATCTTTCGGCTTCCCTGAGTCACACTAGAAGAAGAATTGTCTTGGGCCACACATAAAATACACTAACACTAACAATAGCTGATGAGCAAAAAAAAAAAAAAAAAGTTGCAAAAAAACTCATACTGTTTTAAGAAAGTTTACAAATTTGTGTTTGTAATCTTCGCTCCATTCAAAGCCATCCCAGGCCGCATGTGGCCCGCCGGCCACGGGTTGGATAAACTTGACTTACAGATAAGCCTTATAGTGTCTCTATTCTTTTTAAATCACCCACAGATACTGCAAGGAATCCTGTAGACTTCTGTTTCTAAGAATCAGGGGCTTTTCCCTTTTCCTTACCTTTCACAAGATGGCCCAGGAGCCAGCTGGTTTTTACCCAGAGGACTTGCTGATGCACCTCTACAGCTTCAGAGATGGTGAGCAGCAAGACGGAGGCAGCGCCTTTTGCATATGCATATGCTAATAGGTCTAATCAGCCAAACAACCTGGTGAGGTCAGCCCTCCTGCCGCTTTTCAGGGAAGGAGCCTGAGCATGGGTGCCTGGCTCTGCTGGAGCTGACCGCACTCCTCGCTGGCACACTTCTCCCCTGAAAATGAAAATGATCTCTGCAGGGAACTGGAAACAAGAAGTGTTCTGTTTTGGTTTGATTTTCCGTGCTAAGGCTATTTGAAAGGTAAGCTCTTTTGGTATTTAAAGTCTTTGATGCTGGGCGTGATGGCTCACGCCTATACTCCCTGCACTTTGGGTGGCCCAGGCGGGTGGATCACCTGAGGTCAGGAGTTGGAGATGAGCCTGGCCAATGTGGCAAAACCCCATCTCTACTAAAATACAACAATTAGTTGGGCGTGGTGGTGCTAGCCTGTAGTCCCAGCTACTCAGGAAGCAGAGGCAGGAGCACTGCTTGAATCCGGGAGGCGGAGGTTGCAGTGAGCTGAGGTCGTACCACTGCACTCCAGCCTGGGTGACAACGTGAGACTCCATCTCAAAAAAAAAAAAAAAAAAAAAAGCCTTTGGTGGGGGGGCTATAAAAGCGGGAATAATTGTAAAAGTGGGCAGGACCTTGCAGGCAAAAGAAGCAGGATGTGTGAAGAGCACGGAAACATGGCATCTGAGGGGGCCCAGAACAGGAGGGCAGCCTCAGCCATTCCGTGTGGCTGGAACACAAGGTGCCCGGGACAGTGCCAGGAGAGCAGGCTGACAGGGACCTTCTCAGCATTGCAAAATAACAGCCACATGTGTTTCATTTAGCATCCATCCCAGGCATGATTTCAGCTCATCTCTAGCGTTCCTAGGAATGAGGCATCATCATTCTCCTTTTACAGATTAAAAACTGAAGCTCAGGGGAGACTGCAGTCTTGTTTGAGATCTGGTAATGGCCAAGAGGGAAAATTAATACATGAATGTGTGGTACTTTTAAAATACACCCATGAATTCTTTAACACTCTTCCCTTCCAGAGGTGAAGGTCAATCCCACTCCTCTTGAACGTGAGTTGGACTTCATGACTCTCTTCTGCTGAACAGAATGCAGCAGAAGTGATGATGTGTGACTTCCAAGGCTGCGTCATAAGAGGCATGACTGATTGTTTCCTGCTCTCTCTTGGATCCTTTATTCTGGGGGAAGCCAGCTGCCATATCGTGAAGATACATAAGCAGCCCTATGGAGAGACCCATGTGCCAAGGAGCTGAGGCCTCCAGCAAACAGCCAGCAAGGAACTGAAGTGCCTGCCAACTGCCTCTAGTGAGCGCGGGAGTGGATCATCCGCCCCATTCACGCCTTCAGATGACTGTAGTTCCAGCCAGCATCTCCAGGGCAGCCTCCAGCCATAGCCTTCCAGCCAAGCTGCTCTGGGATTCCCAATGCACAGAAACAATGAGGAAAAAATGTTTATTGTTTTAAGCTGCTCAATTTAGTGGTAATTGGGACACTGCAATAAAAAAAAATGAATACATGATTTACAAATCCAGGAAATACAAATGCATATAAAATAAGAAGTGTGTGTAGTCCCCTCCCGCTTTGTCTTCACCAAATCCCCCACAGAAATAATCAACTAGTGTTTCCACATTCGCCCTTCCAGCCCATTATGCCTCCAGTAAAGGGCTGAAGAGCTAAAGAAGCTCATAAACCCCTTACTGGAAGGGCTTTGTGGAAGTTTGCAGAAGCCATTGAGTATCTTAGACAGGGGCTAACACCGTCAGACTTGCCTTGTGGAAAGAACAGCCTGGCAGCCTGGAGAGGAGAGGTTGCAGTGGATAGGACGAGAGGCAGAATCCGTAATGCAGGCGGGAAATGACACGGTGAGCATGAAGATGCAAAGTTACAGAACAGAAAGGCAGAGTCTAGAAATATTTAGTGATAGGACCAACAGGACCTCCCCTCTTGCTGCAGCCTGCGGGTGTCCACCACTAGGGCTGGGTGTGTCAAACTGTGTAGGAGTCGTTTGCTCAGTTAGAGTGTGAATGCATCTGACTTTGGTGAACCATCAATGCGAATTCAATTTCACCATCCCATGTTCCATATGCAGCAGCCTGGAGAGGTCAAAGGCGAATGCTGTGTTCTACAGCAGTCTCCATGCAGGACAAGTCCTGACCCTGGACCAAGGCTTGGGTGCCGTGCATTAATCAGCATTTCCTGGCTGTGTTTCTGTGCTACAAAGAGCCCGGCAGGCATTTTAGATTTTCTCAACATTCCTGTATGAAAGGCACCCTCATGATCCTCATCTTACAAATTAGAATGAGGGTCAGCAGACTGCCACCCTGGGCCAAATCCTGCTGCCGCTTGATTTTGTGAATGAAGTTTTTTGGGAACCCATACGCTCATTTGTTTACGTATTGACTACGGCTGCTTTTGCTCTGCTGTGGGTGAGCTGAATAGTGGCCACTGAGACCTTATGGCCCAAAATATTTACTCCCCGGCCTCTGATCTAGCACAGATGAGGGAGGCTGAGCAACTGCCCCCTGCAGCCAGACTCGAGCTGGGTGGGTTCTCACTTCGGAGGCCAGCACTTGCGTTGAACTGGGCCCGGCAGAGTGGCCGCCAGTTTGAGGTTGGTGTCGTCTGCTTTCCTTCAGAGCAACTCTGAGCAGCTCAGAGAAGCTGCAACTTGAGGCCTCGAAGGAGGGGACGCAACTTTGCCGAAAGGAGCCCGGCAGGAGGGCCCTGGAAGTCTAATTACAGACTCCAGTTTGCCTGTGTGCTTCTTTGTCTAGAAGAGGGGTGGGCTGGGTGCCTCCAGCTCTGGGAGCCTCACAGAGCGCTAACCCAGCCCCAGAGACTGGGGGCGGGAGAGGAAAGAGGAGGGGTTGGGAGAGACAGAGGGAGACAGAGAGGAGAGAGGGGGAGGGAAAGAGAGGAGAGAAAGGAAGAGACTGTCTCTAGAGGAGAGAAAGAGGAAGAGAGACTGTCTCTAGAGAGAAAAAGGAGAGAGAGGGAGAGAGAGGAAAGAGGAGAGAGAGGGAGAAGGCCTCAGTACCTGCACTGCTGGGTTTGGCTTGGAGGAGACTTGTCATCAGTCGTCCCGGCTGGCCTGTAAAACTGCAGAGAATCAATTTCCTGTGTAATTGGTGGTTCCATTTAGGTACTCTTCCCCTAGGCATTTTCCAATTACAGGTCTAAAATCTCATTCTCTCTAAGCATGTTTTTTTTTTTTTTAAATCCTGCCTTTGTTGAGGTTCAAACTGGCTGGCCCCAACCCAGAGACGGACCAAAGAGCATAGCAGAACCGGGAGCTCTAGACACTGCCTGAGGAGGGCGTGGCCACGCCCCTCCTGCCCACATGGGAGCTGTAAAAGTGATGCTGGCTGGAGCCGAAGGTGTGCTTCCTGAGCCACAATGGAGCCCACAGCAGACACCAGCATAGGGGACACTGCCAGCAAGGGCAGTTTGTCCAGGTGCCCCAGATCCAGCCTCTGAGCCCCACCCTGCCTCTCTGTCCTCAGATGGCTTGGTCTATCTTACAGACCAGGAGGCAGCCAGGCATTGGCCTGAATATTAGAAAATAAAATTGCCAGTCTGGGTCCTGCTGAGGTGAGAGTCATTTAACCCAGGCTCCTGCCCTGCCCAAGCAGACAGTGTGGGCCTGAGAAAGTCCGTCTTGCAACTTGTCATTCCACCTTTAAACTCTCACTCCTCCGAGCCTCAGGGGTTCTGGTCTCCAGGAGTTCCCATTCCAACATGCATCACCCTGGGGTAGGAGAGGCGATCATCTGAAGATTGATATGTGCAGTTTGAGCGCAGCCATGCCCTTCCCAGGCAGTGTCTAAAGCTCTCTGTTCTGCTCTGCTCTGCTCTTTGAAGTGAAGCATTAGGATGTCAGCAGGGATAGTAGAAATGCAGTTTAGGGGAGTGGGGGAGACAGCTGAACTCAGTTTATCTGAAACCTATGATGCTCCCACTGTGTGTGTGAGATCCAGCGGCAGGTGAGAGGGTTGCAAAGGTGAGCAGGACACGGGTTCTGTCCCAGGGAGCTCACATTCCAGTAAGAGCTACTCACGAGAATGAAGAAGTGTGGATGCACATGGTGTGGTCAACAAAATGGTAGCCCACCAAAGACGTCCATGTCCTAATCCTCACAGCCTGTGACTTTGTTACCTTAGATGACAAAGCAGCTGTGCAGATGTGACAAGTCAAGGACCCTGAGATGGAGAGCTGAGCCCGGATTATCCAGGTGGGCCCAATGCACTCATAGGGTCTTTATGAGTGGGAGGCAAAGGAGTGAGTCACAGAAGGAGACGCGGTGACAGATGCAGGCATCAGAGTGATTCCATGTGAGAAGGACTGGACCAGCCATTGCTGGCTGTGCAGATGGAGGAAGGGGCCATGAGCCAAGGAATGACGGTGGCCTCCAAAAGCTGAAAAAGGCAAGGAAATGGATTCCCCCTAGAACAATCCAGGAGGAACACTGCCCAGTTGATGCCTTGATTTTAGCCCAGCAACACCCATTTTGGACTCTAGCCTCCAGAACTATAAAATAATAAATGTGCATGTTTTAAGCCTCTAAACTTGTGGTGGTTTGTGACAGCAGTGACAGGGAACTAATGGTATGTGCAGGAATGCCCATGTGCCCAGTGGGAGGGGTGACTTTGGGAGCACAGAAGAGCCCAGGTGTCAGGGGAGCTGCCTGGAGAAGATGCCTGGGCTGAGCACTGAAGGGTGAGTATCTCCTGGGCAAGCCCAGAGGAAGGGCATGCCAAGGAGGCAAAAGAAAGGAGTAGAGACAGCATGGTCTGTAGCGCCAGGAGGTGTGTGGAGACCCCTAAACATCTTGGGTCCATAGAGCAGGAGGTGGGGGTGGGAGAAGGAGGATGAGGCGGGGGAGGTATGCAGGGCCCTGCCCAGTGCCTTTCAGACAGCACAAGGGAAGGGGCACTGTGGTCACGTTAACCTGGGTTGCATTTTCCTTTCAACAGCACGCCTTACAGAAATAAATCTTTTAATTACATCTTCTAATCACAACTGGCTTGGCTAGGCACAGTGGCTCAAGCGTGTAATTCCAGCGCTTTAAGAAGGCTGAGGTAGGTGGATCACTTAAGCCCAGAAGTTTGAGGCCAACTTGGGCAATATAGTGACACCCCATCTCTACAAAACAAACAAACAAACAAAAACAATGAGTTAGCCAGGCATATTGGTGCCTGCCTGTAATCCCAGCTAGTCGGGAAGCTGAGGTGGGAGGATCGTTTGAGCCTAGGAGTTCGAGGCTGCAGTGAACCATGATAACGCCACTGCACACCAACCTGGGTGACAGAGTGAGATTTTGTCTCAAAAAACAAAAACCAAAAAACAACTGGCTTGACTATTTTCAGTGGCCGCTAATCAGGTAATCCCATCAATTCATTAAGAAAATAACTACTGGCTATCTAGTCATCATGCGAACTGTACATGTCAAACCGTTGTTTTGAGATTTTAAGATCAGTAGCTAAGTTGATTACATCAAGCTGCTATGTTATCTTGCAAACTCCCTTGCCCCAATTTCCTACACCACACCAGAGACATTCAAAGTTCTGAGAAAGCCTGGAACTTGGGTGAGTTCCTCAGAAGAGCTGCCTGTGAATTTAGGAAGAATGGGATTATCAGCCCCAGAAATGCAGAACAGTACCACCTGCCATGGAGGCAACAGAGGCTTTGGGTTAAGATGCACCTGAATTTGAGCCCAGCTCTGCCACATTTGCCTGGGTAACTTTGGACAAGTTGCTTAACCTCTGTGAATTCAGTTTCCCTATCTGTAAAATGGGGATGGTCACGTCAAACTCATGGAGTTGCCAATACTAAATAAAATAATACTTGTAAATGCAAGGTGTCTCCTGAGGCGTAAGCACTAACTGATATACTCAGCAAGGTGTCATTGATGGAAAAATGAGCCCCCTTCTCAATGCTGGTGTGGCCCAGCCCATTGCAGACATAAGTGTGGACGCGGCTGCTACAGAGGCCCTGAGAGCTCCTGGGAGACCACCGGTGGAACGGCCAGGCCACTTCCAAATAGAACTATGGACGCGCGCCACGTCTGCATTTATGCGCTGGGGTCTGTTGAGCAGGCAGGCCAGAGCTGAGGAGTTAGGAGGAAACACATTCCCAAACAAACACAGATTCCCGTGGAAAGAAGTGGAAGAAGGTCAGGGGACTGTAGCGGACTTGGCTGCTCTTCCTTTTGCAGGTCTTCCCTGCACAGTGGGCTCCCTTTGACCTGCTCCTGGGGACCTCGGCAGCCCCGCTTTGTTGTGCTTACGTGTGACCTTCCCTGACCCCAGTGTCATTTGAGATGTCACCATGGAGACTGCCAGGCCTCCCTGGAGCTGACCTTTTCCGGGCTTGTTTCTAGGCTGCTCACATCGCCCAACACAACCCCTCGGGTAGGTCTACGGGATCTGGCTAGCAGGTATATTCGATTTCATGGGTGACTATTTTTGAGTGAGGCTGTCTACACAATGTTGAAAAGGTAAAAATGGCATTCACACGGTTATTTATTGTCAGCTACACCTGACTGCTAGTTTGAGTCCATGTAAGGGAGGCCAATTACAAATTACTGAAAGCAAAGGAGCAGCAGGCCTCCTCCTTCTGTCACTGCCTGTCAGCAATTCCATAAAGTGGGCTCACTCTGGGTTGTTTTTTTTTTTTTAAGCCAGTCTTCAAAATAATCACCTATGGGATATTTGTTTGGATTCACAGATTTCATCACCCTGCACTGGTGGGCAGGGCCCCAGCACTCGATATGTGTGTTATCTCACTGGAACGATAAGACACATAATGGATTTTGAGCAATGTAGATTAGAGAGTTAAGCTGGTTATCACCAAGGTCCAGAACCCAGGACTCAGAAAATGAAGGGTTGGAGTGAGACTTGGAACATTCTCCAAAGGAAATCCGTGGGGTCTCCATGCCTGTTTTCATTGGATGTAGCGAAGCCAAATGGGGGCGATCAGCTCACCGACGATTTGGAAGCCAGCACACTCCAAGGGAGGCAAATATTTCATTCGATGGAAATGACAGGCCCAGTTCTGGCTCAGGAACACTGAGACCTTGAGACCAACCTCGCTAAAATGAGAGAAGAAGTAGGAGTTTCTCTAATTGCCTCCGAGGGCTGTGGCGGTGCTCAAGACTCCTGTGTGCTTGTGCGCTGCCAGGAAGAGAGGAAGCAGTGGAAGGGCTGCAGGAGGAGGCGCCACATGAGGCTGAGCTGAAATGGAATTTCATGTCGTGAAGCAAGACGATGCATCGTTTCCCGCCAGCGTCCGGAGATAAAACCTCTGCTCCAACTGCTGCGTTTGGGATCACTTTGAACTGCTGGATGAAATTCCCAAGTGGAAATTCCCCTCCTCTCATATTCCTTCCTGTTCAATGACCATTTTTACTTTCCGTTTACATCTGCACAGCTCTATGCTTTAGGCAAAACAATGGCTAACTTAGTTGATCTCTCAGATAAATATTCTATTTCTTTTTCCCGTTCACTACAACACTTCACATTTGTATCTTTGTTTAATGATTCTTTAAAGAGTCTGGGCTGTGTGTGGGAGCAGCACAGTGGCTAAAACACTCCTGCCCTTGAGAAGCTCACAGTTGAGTACAGAGACAGACATACAGCAAACAAGGCATTATGACGTGCACAGCATAAGGGTAAAGAGTGAATAACTCTACTGGGAAGTGGAGAATCTTGGAAGACTTCCTGGAGGAGGTGGAATCTCAAGTCCATGTGAAATGTCCAAGTACAGTTGCCCAAGAAGGGGTTGTTCATGGTGATGTGAAGTTTAGGAATGTGCTCTGACTAGAGTGTTCAGGTGGGTGTCGCCAGCACCTACAAGCTGGTAAATCATAGGTGTTGGGGAGATATAAGCTAGGGAAAGGAAGGAAACTTCAAGCAGGGCCATGGGGATTTATGGATCTAGACCTGTGGCCACTTCTCCAAATGCATCCTCTTTACATGGGAGGCACCTGACACTCTCCCTCTCCGAGGCTTCCCCCACCCCAGCTATTATGGTGTATCTTTCCTGGCCTGGTTCCTTCCTCATTCTCTGATTACTTCATCTCTGTGGTTTTCTTTCTTTCCCTTTCCCCCTGCTGGTCCATTTATCAATAAATCATGCAACGATCCATTGGGTGCTCATGTGCTAGCGACTTGGGTTGGGGCAGGAATGAAGGTCAAGGTGGTGGGATGATAGGGAGAACCAGTGAAGGACAAAAACTATAAGACCTGACCCACGAACCAAGGAGCTTGCCATCTATTTGGATAAATGAGACGAGCACTGCAGACAAGAAAGTACACAGCAGAAAGCAATATGTAAAAAATGTTGATATGGTTTGGCTTTTTGCCCCCACCCAAATCTCATCTTGAATTGTAATCCCAACAATTCCCACATGGTAAGGGAGAGACCAGGTGGAGGTAATTGAATCGTGGGGGCCGTCTTCCCCATGCTATTCTCGTTGTGGTGAGTGAGTTCTCACGAGATCTGATGGTTTATAAGCTGCTCTTCCCACTTCACTCGGTGCTCCTCCTTCCTGCCACCTTGTGAAGAAGATGGCTTGCCTTCCCTTTGCTGTCCACCATGATTGTAAGTTTCCTGAGGTCTCCCCAGTCATGCTGAACTGTGACTCAATTAAGCCTCTTTCCTTTATAAAGTACTCAGTCCCAGGCAGTTCTTTATAGCAGTGTGAAAACAGGCTAATACAAATGCCAAGATAGGACTAAATGTGGAATGCAACTGGATTTCAGAAGAGGGGGAGGTCATTGCTGGTTGCAAGGAGTCAGGGAAGATTTATTTCAGGAGGAGACTTTGATCTTTGGGGATCCTGAGGATCCTATCCTCTGTCACGCCGTGCATGGGCCTCTGTTATTACATTTGTCATTCGGGGGACTGCCGTCAGTTTGTCAGCCTCCTCCCCTAGACTGTAAGCTCCATGAGGTCAAAACCACATCCTTATAGACTTCTTCCAGGCATATCCTGGCACGTGGTAGACACACAGAAAATGCATGCTGGGGTGAATCAATCCCACTAGCCTTTCCCCCATAACTCAGTTTTTAGCACTCTCTATTATTGTCTTCCTTACACTCTCTCTCAGGAAATACACCTGTTCCTGGCAACAGCTCTCATTTTAGGGTGTGTGATGTTCAATCCACACCCCTGTAGCACATCTTAGACCTAGCATGTGTAGAGATGCCAGGATAATATCGAACTCTGAACTCCTCAAACCAGCCACATGATCTCCCACCAACAGAGATCTGTGTTGGTGTGGCCTCTTCCCCCTCCTAAGATGCAGCCTTAGAAAAGGACTGTGTGCAGGTAGTTTATTTTGGGAAGTCAACCAGGGATGCCAGTGAGGTGCTAGTGAGGGTCAACAGGGAAGGAGGAAAAGCCAGTACCATCAATGCCACACACACACTATAATGTGGTATCAAGCTCCCCATCCCATCACCAGGATATCATGAGAAGAGAATAAAATATCTCTGCATCATCTGCCCAAGAGACAGAAGACAGAATCATTTATCTAGCAGCTCCAGTCTCCCAGTGGTTGAGGGTTGGTCCATGAGATGTCAGCCCTCATCAACTTCAGAGGTGCCCAGCCATGAATTCCAATTCAGCTTCTGCAGGCATACCTGTGAGAGGTTAGGGATGGGAGGTGCTCTCTTGAGATGAGCCACCATCAGCACAACGCTGATCAAGGTCAATATTCATCTCCTCACCATGGCTAGGGCTGGAATCAGAGGCAAGGACAAAAGGACGATGGGGAGGCACCCAAGTGATTCCATGCAGACCCTGTCCCTCCTTGCCCTGTGTCCACCCACAGCACCTCCATCCTGCCAGACATCCAGGTCGCCCACTGAGCTGTCTGCAGTTCTTCTTGGCCACCCGTCTCTTGCAACTTCCAATTCAGTTTCCTCCTTTCAACTCTTCCCTTGCATGTCTCTTGAATGCCCCCGTCTATCACCACCATACTGTGAGTATCTCCCAACTCTTTCCATCCTCCTGGCTTGCAAGTCTTCCAGTGGACTTGGCCACCTCACTTATTCCCTTCCAGTCCACCCTCGCAGCTCCCCCAAAACCTTGCTTTGTGCACGTCAATCCAAGACTAGAAAGCTGGCTGCCTGCTCCCAGTAAAGTCGAAATAATATTTCAGAGGCCTTTTGGAGGAGTTTGGAGTGTCCACCAAGGAAGTATAACCATTTATAGATCATTCATTTATCCATTCCATTGTTCAATCATGTGTGTGAGGACCTGCTCTGTCCCCAGCCTGTTCCAAGCACAGAGAGAGGCAAGTGAGCCTCACAGAGCAGGACTGCCATGTGATGGAAGCTGCTGTTCCAGTAAGACCCAGGCCACAAAATGACATGACAGGTACCGAATTTTGATTTTTTTTTTCAGATGGAATCTCCCTCTGTCGCCCAGGCTAGAGTGCAGTGGCACTATCTCAGCTCACTGCAGCTTCAGCCTCCTGGGTTCAAGAGATTCTCCTGTCTCAGTCTCCCAAGTAGCTGGAATTACAGGTGCCCACTACCACACCCAGCTAATTTTTGTATTTTCAGTAGAGATGGGCTTTCATCATGTTGGCCAGGCTGGTCTCAAACTCCTGATCTCAGGTGATCCGCCTGCCTCTGCCTCCCAAATGTTGGGATTACAGGTGTGAGTCACCACGCCTGGCCTGATCATTGTTTTTAAACTGGTAAAAATAAATAATAGAAACAAAAACTCACTAACAACAGAGTAAGGTGACAGAGAGTAACTGGGTTATGGGAAGAGTGGGCTTCAGCAGGTGGCGAGGAAGGTGTTTGTGAAAACATGTGACAGGTAGGGCCTCGCTAGGAAGATATGAAACAGATGGCACACCCAAATTAGAATAATCAGGCTGCTCTTATTATTTTTTAACTCATATTGGTAAGGGAGGTTTAGAGAAATGTGTAGCCTCATTCCACATCTGCCTAAATGTCCCCATCCCATACCCACGAGTCCTTCTTCCTATTGTCCTTACCTCAGCGAGACCTGGTTGGGTTGAGCTTTGAATTAGTACTCTACTCTACAACCCTATAATCAGCATGTGAACTAGAACCTCACTCATGTCTGCCCCGAGGCCACAGGAGAGGATTCCTTGAGAGCAGGCTCTGTACACAGGCTCTTAATTGAATATTCATGGCACTAATTCCTTGTATTCCTTCTGCAAGCTCCCTGGGTGGTAAGCAGCAGCTAGATGACACCATAATCTTGATCATCACTATCGTTGCCATAGCAACTAAGTGCCACAGCCACTTGATCTCCCTGCGCCTTGCCTTCCACCTGCGTTTCATCCCATGCTACCACTGATGGTAATATGAAGATAATATGATCATCATGATGCCAGCACGTGCCCTCCTCTAATCATGTCCCCAGTAAGCAGGTTGCCCCGGAGGTCGTCGAATACATGAGCAACCCAATTCCAGAATCCATTGTGAGGGCCCTAGAGTCCACCTCTGGGATGATTCAGATATTAGTAGGGGTCCCAACAGGACACAGACTGCACACTCAAATTAGGATAATCAAAGAAGGGTTGAAAATAGTTTCCCCCGACAAGTGTGGGGAGGGTTTGAGGGGCTCATAAGGAGTGGTGCTGTAGCCCAGGAGAGATGAGGAGGGGCAGAAACCAAGGAGAAAGTTGAGCTGCAGAGCCCACCCTGGAGAAGCAGTGACTCAGTGAAGTAACACAGACAGCCGTTGGTGGGGGGGGGTGGGGACAGGAGAGTGACTGCCCCGATTGTGCTCTGGTGCTCTCATTTCCTGCAGCACTTCTCCTACACCCTTCCCCCTCCTCCTACACCCCTTCCCCTTCTCAACACCCCTTCCCTTTCCACTACACCCCTCCCCCTCCTCAACACCCCTTCCCCTTCGACTACACCCCTCCCCCTTCCACACACCCCTTCCCCTTCTACACCCCTCCCCATCCTCAACACCCCTTCCCCTTCCACTACACCTCTCCCCCTCCTCCTATGCCTCTTCTCTTCCTTCTACACCTCTCCCCCTCCTCCTACACCCCTTCCCCTCCTCAAGTCAGAAGAACAGAAGCCCACAGTTGCAGCCCGTGTTCATCATGCTTTATATTTTCTGTATTTTATAATGCTTTGACATCCTGGGATCTTGCAGACACAGGGAGGAACTGCCCCTCCCCAGGGTAGCAAATTCCTGGAAATAGCAAGCAACTAGCCTGCTCACAGAGCGTTCCTTTCAAATGCAAATCAACCAATTCAGAGTCCCTATCTCCAGCCACCTTCTTTATCTAACTCGCACACAACAAGCCAATATTCCACCCGTCCTAAATCATTAAGGTGGGCCCTAATCCAATATGCCTGGTGTCCTTTTAAGAAGAAGAGATTAGGACTCAGACATGCACAGAGTCCACTGAGAGACTTGCAAGCCAATAGTGTGGAAAGAGTTGGGAGATCTACTCACAATATGGACCAGGAATGAGACAATTAGGGACCACCCCTATATCTCAGACCCATCCCCTGCCCCAGATTACTCAAGCTGCCCTATCCCAAGTCTGCCCAGCATGTCCACCCTACCTGACCCATTCCTTCCCGAGAAAACCACAATAAAGGCTATGGTCCCTGCCTTCCTCTGGCTCCCTCTGCCTCCTGAATGACCCTGGTCCTTTCCCACGTGGCCCTGTGCAGCCTGGCATGGCATGCCCACTCCTATTGGTTAAGCAATAAACACTTCTTCCAAGGCAGTTGTGTCTGTGTCTGTGTCTCCCCATAACTAAAACGTTAAATCCTGGGGACATTTGCAAGCCCAGCCCACACAGGTCCGCCTCCCAGCACAGAGCAGGGTAGAGAGTTGATGCAGGGCAGCCATGAGAGTCCCAGCACAGGAACTTTTGTGCTGTTATCTAAAAGACAGGCTGCTAGCCTCTCACAGAGATCTGGGCCAAGAACATTCAAGACATGAGGAATAGCCAAGGCAAGCCATTCCCAGCCTTCAGAAGAAGACCAGATCTCAGGGGCACCGTTGCCACAGCCAGAGGGTGCCCTCATGTCTAGGGAGCACTGATCCCTCCCCCCTCCTGCCATCAGACCTCCTGTGCCCTCACCCCTTTGCCTTCTGCTTTCTCAACTTTGATTATCCAGTTCAGTAGATGTTCAGGCCAGGTGAGTCCTAAGTCTTCTCTCTGCTTACCCCATTAACCCACCATGACCTTCCTCTCTTCTGATTCCAGAAGCTCCTTCGTATTTACTGAATGCACTTCAGGGCTAGGCATTTGACCTACATTACCCTGTTTAACCCTGAAACAACCCCAAAAGAAAGGAGTTAGTTTTTGAGATGGAGTTTCACTCTTTCACCCAGGCTGGAGTGCAATAGCATGATCTCAGCTCACTGCAACCTCTACCTCCCAGGTTCAAGCGATTCTCCTGCCTCAGCCTCCCAAGTAGCTGGGACTATAGTTGTGCACCAACACACCTGGCTAATTTTTGTATTTTTAGTAGAGATGGGGTTTCACCATATTGCCCAGGCTGGTCTCGAACTCCTGACCTCAGGTGATCCACCTGCCTTGCCCTCCCAAAGTGCTGGGTTTACAGGCGTGAGCCACCGTGCCCAGCCAAAAAGGAATTTTTATCCCCAGTTCCAGAGAGTTGAAACGGGCCTGTTTGAGAACACAATGCAGGATGCTTAATCACTGACCTGGGTAAGCACTGCCTTGCAGATGACCCACAAGAGTGGTATGGCTCTGTGACAGCCTGAATTGCATCCCACCAAATTCACCTGTTGAAGTCCTAACCCTCAGTAGCTCAGAATGTGAGTAACTCTTATCTCTCTAGAGGTAATTAAGGTAAAAAGAAATCATTACGATGGGCTCTAATCCAATATGCTTGGTGTCCTTCTAAGAAGAAGAGATTAGGACTCAGACATGCATAGAGAGAAAGACCATGCAAGGACACAGGGAGAAGGTAGCATTCACAAGTCAAAAGGAGAGGCCTCCAAAGAAACCCAGCCCTGCCAACACTGTGATCTAGGACTTCCAGCCTTCAGAACTGAGAACAAATAAACATGTGTTGTTCAAGCCCCCAGCCTGTGGTCCTCTGTTATTGATGGCAGTGGCTGCTGCCATCAAACTGGCTGCAGCAGGGAGGCGTGGCTGGGGCTGCACACTCCTTGGAGCCAGTGAGGCCCCACCCCTTCTGAGTTGGGGCAGGAGCTCCTCAGTGTTGCTACAGCCGCCCAAACTGTGGCTATGAATCTGAGCCTCCCTGTGCTCTTATGGGGTACCAGGAACAGGCAGGATCTGCCCTCCTGGATGCAGCTGCAGCTGCCAGACCTGCAGCTGCACACATGGGCCTCCTGCTTCCTGGAGCAGGTGGGAGCTGGGGACAACCAGAAGCCCCACCCCTTCTGAGTTGGCACGGTGGGAGCTCCCAGGTGCAGCTGTGGCCACCCTCCCAGGCACAGGACCGAGGCGTCTCTGTAGCCTGCACCCTCAGGGGCTCCAGGAAGAAGCCCCCTATCTCTGCAGGCTTGGGGGTGTCTGCTCCTGCTGCCTGGCTTCTCTTCCTCTGAGGTCCATGAAAGCCCTGGGCTTAACCAGAGCAGGGCAGTGGACAGCCAGAGGATGAAGAGGCATATCCTCTCTGTTGAGAGCTGCAGAGAGACAACCTGCCAGCAGAGAGGAGCCACCCTCTCCAGGGCCTCCTCTCCACTGAGAGCTGCAGAGATGACCTGCTTGCAGAGAGGAGCCACTGTCACCCTCTCCAGAGCCTCCTCTCCACTGAGAGCTGCAGAGATGACCTGCTTGCAGAGAGGAGCCACTGTCACCCTCTCCAGAGCCTCCTCTCCACTGAGAGCTATAGACATCAGGATGACCAGTTGCAGAGGAGCTACCCTCTCCAGGGCCTCCTCTCTGCTGAGAACTGAACACTCAACGGAAGGCCTGCCTGCAGAGAAAAACTACCCACTGCAGGTCTCTTCTGAGCTGTTGTAACACTCAGTTAAGCTCATTCTTGTTTTGTTCACCCTTTACTTGTCTACATACCCCATTTTTCCTGGATGTGGGACAAGAACTCTGGCAAGGGCACCGTGGCGACAGAGGCGTCTGGCCAGAAAATCAGCATCCCAAAGATCCGGTAACATGACACCTTGGCTGACTAAAACAGGTATGAATGCTTGTAATAAAAACAGGGTGGCTACTGCAGATTCAGAATGGTTTGCACACCAATTTCCTAAAGTGGAGAAGGACTCTGTCCTGAGTCTGGCTGAAAACCCGGAAGGAGACAATGACGCTCTGATGCAGCTGAGGGACGTCCCTGCGACCCGGCCCAGATAGTGCAGCTGTGTAGGAGGGAAGGGTGTCTACCCCAAGCCTGTCTCCTTTGGAGCTTTGGGTTCCTATTGTAGACCACAGTGGAGCTGGCGCTAGGTAAGCCTTGCTCCTCTCTACTGCTATGGGTGTGTTTGGCATTTTAATGAGCTCTTGATGCATTTCCACACTCTTTCGAGCCCTCGCAAGCCCCAGGTGCAGTAGTGTGGTGTGCATCCAGTACTGCAGAAGGTAGATGCTTCCACATGAAACTCCATAGGCCAGGCACTTTAATTTGGAAGTGGAGGCACCGTGGTGTGCCCCATGGGCCTGAGTCACCCACTCCCCAACCAACCACCAAACAGGGAGTCCTACCTCTCACCACAAAAGTGCTTTCTGGCTTTAGTTTTTCCTGTAAAATACTAAATATTTATTCGTGGGATATTTATCAGATGAATAAAGACTTTGTGTATCTTTAATTGGTAAGATCTTGCCTCCTCCCTTTCCCCATTCCTAAACAAAACTTGGGAACCTTGATTTTTTTTTAAACAGAAGAGTGTTTTGAACCCACAGAATGGACCCATTCTTTGGTCTGTTTTCCGCTCTGTTGCCCGTGAATGTACACACACCTCTCCAGATCCACTTTTGTCCTCCCCAGCAGGAATAAAGCCACCTGTTATTAGGCCCACAGTAGTGGATTGTGTGAGTCTGTCCCCCTGGATATCAAGAAAATTGATGTAACTCTAACATACACAATTTCTCCATCTTGCCTGCTTCCGTGTGTCTGGCCTCAGATCTGCGTTTCGCGTGCTAGTCTAAATATAAATTCTGTGGGTGACGCATGCCTACAGAAGTCTTTTTGCCAGACTGATTTCTGCAACAGGTGTCACGGAGCTGATGC